GTGTATCAGGATAGCTGTTCAATACTGTGGAAAACTCTAATTGTACAAACCTTTATACTTTTTAATATTTTAATTTTATTCATTAAACACATTCTAAAAATAGTGGAGCTGGATTCGTTTTTATTCACCCTAGACAACCAAAGGAAAAGCCTACATTATCAACCCACAAGTCAACCCGCCTAAGACATATGCAGCAGCAACAGCAAAGCGCGGAGAAGAAAAGGAAGCAAACATATCATACATATTGATCAGATCAGTAACCAGGCAAGACGCCAAAATAACAAGATAAGAAATACAGACAAAAATAAAATTAAGTAACCTCAAAGTCAAAGTTAAAAGCATAAAACAAAGACAAGACGGAAGCCTAAAAGTCAAATGTGATAATGAAGTAGAAAACCAAAGATTAATAGAGGAAGTAGAGAAGGTAACTGGAAATAAATACAAACCTACAGCCGATGAACTAGTAAATCCAAAAATTGAGATAATAAACATTAGTAATTCATATACCAAAGAACTTGAAAAGATAATCATTATCCAAAATCTAAAGGAAGACAAATACAACTACCTAAAAGTTACATACGTCAGGCACATCCAAAAGAAAAAGACATACACAGCATACGCAGAATTCAACAGATCCACCTATGAAAAGTTAATGGAAAAGAGGAAGTTATATATAAACTGGGAAATATGTCAAACATATGATGAAATTAATGATAAAAGACATACAAATGTAATGCATATAGACACAGCTATAAAAAATGTAACACCCACTATTGCTGTTGGTTTGCAGAGGAACATAGAACTGAAGAGTGCAAACCAAGTGGAATACAAAAATGCATAAACTATATAAAGTCAAACAAAAAATTCAAGCTCAAAAGGAACATAGAACACTCGGCTAACGCAAAGAACAAATGTGATACGTACAGGGGCTACAGACAATGCCAAATCAATAGAACAAATTACCACCACACTGTCGGACCAAAATCATAGAAATTAAACACAGACATGAATAAAAATTTCCTTAGCAATTTTGAGGAACACACATACGAAGAATAAGCCTATATCAAAAACCAAAGATGTGAAAGCCATACTAAACAGACATAAAATGACGTGGATAAATATACTCCACATAAATATACGAAGTCTAGACAAACACTTTGAGGAACTGCTTATACTTACAAAGCAGCTAGACACGCAGATAGATATTATAATATGCATAGAAACTTTTAAACTGGACAACACAAACCTTTACAAAATACCAAACTACATTCAGTAAAACACTATAAACTACCAAAACAGGAATGATGGAATAATTGTATACATAAATGAAGAACTGAAACACACAGAAAAAAAGATGCAACTGAGCAGCTGTGAAGTAATTGAAATCGAAATAGAACACGCTGATAAAGCAGCTCTACTGATTACGGCGATATATAGGCCACCATCTAACAACTATGAGCTTTTCCGGACAGCCCTACAAACATACGTTGAGGAGAAGTATTGAAACCAAAAGCACATTCTTGTAGGAGATCTACACATAGACCTTCTAAAAAATGACAATCCGCAAACAGAAAGGTACATAAATATCCTCCAGGACCATGTTTTTTTGCCAGCCATATATTCCCCAACCAGAATGTGCAAATGCAGGGAAATGTATCGACCACTCCTTCATAATGGTTTTCCAGATAACAAAGAAGCCATTCCAATAATCGTGGAAACATATATAACAGACCACTTCCTAATCTTCATAAGGATAACAACAACACGAACTAACAACAAACCCTGACAAAATATACACAAGTTAGACATGGGAAAACTAACGAGCTTGCTCAAAACACGTAAATGGGACGAAATCACAAACATGGCAGACCCACAGGATGCCACACACATTTATACAGAGCGTCAAGGGTTATATTGAAACGTACACGATAAAGATACAAAAACCCGAAATGAAAAGGAAAAGCTGGATAACCCAAGGTATAATAAACTCCATAAATGGAAGGGACAAAATGTACAAAGCACTAACAAAATCCGAAGACACGCGCAAACTAAATGAATTCAACAAATACAGGAATCTGCTTAACAAAGTTATAAAACAAGCAAAAGAAAAACCTATTAAAAAGAAATTACAACAAAACAACCGCAAAAACAACATGGAAAGCTATAGAGAAGATACTAAACCGGAAGAAAGGCAAATAAAAGAATCCAGAAATAAGCTTCATCAAGGAGAACGGGGGGGAGGGGAATGCCGAAGACAGTGCTAACGAACTGAACAAGTTCTTTGCCAACGTGGGATCGAACCTTGCTAAGAACCTAAAGAGACGAGAAGAGATGTACCATACACCCAAAAATACAATAG